AATATAGTCATCCAGTTCAGTCCAATTACAACTTTGATCCTCCACAATGACATTCAATTAAGCGAATTCAAAACATTATAGATAACAACGATGTGTTCAAATCCTACCAATACGATAAGGAGTTTCTTTGCTAAAACTCCTTTAATCTATCTTTTCCTGCGCTCTGCGTGATTCACGGAAGGAGAATTTTGTAAAATGAATTTGTGCACCTGATTTGGCTGGGGACTGAACTGGGCCGCCAGTGAATTTTACCCCCTCCCCGGAAGCCCATTAAAACTCCTAACACGTCGACCTCTTTCTACTTCCTCTCTGTCTTTCTCGCCGGAAATAATTCGCGGTCTCTCTCTGCCTGTCTTTCACGTCCGCCGCCTCTCTCGATGCCGGCCGGACCGTACCTCACCGCCGCGTAAAAGCAACCGCCTCTCTTCATTAGGTTACCCTATATCTAATTTGTTGATGGCTGCCCTGAATGTCGGTGATTTTGTAGCCGCCACTGCAAGACAGCAGCAGCAGCACGTACACTCCCTCAAGCTTCGAAGACAACAACAGCAACACACTCCCTCGAGCAGCAACACGCTAATTCTATTAATCAACAGCAGCAGCACGGAATAGAAGCTGTGTGCGACGCCGCTCTGACTCCGATTCTGCTCTACCAGTCTTTCTTCCATCAGTCGAAGACAATTAAGTGATTAACAGGAAGGTACGCAACTGTAAACCTTTCTTTAGAGAATAGAAGCTTTAATATCCAGTTCAGAGGCATATGCTGGATTACTAATCTACTACTGTAAAAAACCATACCTGAACTTTCTAACCAAAATCCATGAAACAAATAGCAGACGCACTAAATTCCCAGGAAATGATTCGTCTTAAAGGTTAAGCGCATAATTACAACTCAAAATCTACAGGATTTCAGGAAGAGAACGCAATAAAGCTTGAGAATGTGTAATTAACTGTAAAGGACTAAATCAAGAAAGCTCCTTTGCTTCACATTGTTGAGCAATTCATAAGTGAAAGCTCCTTTATTGGACATTCTTGAGCAATTCATAAATATTCAACTAAGATAGACGCCAACACGACAATACCATTAGTGGAATTTACTACTACAGTCTACAGCTTCAGAGAGAACATTGAAGGGAGGAAAGCAGTCTGTAGCTTATTATTACTTTATTATTTCAGTAAATTTTTGTTAGTTTATTATTATTAAATTATTTCTAGAAAAATCTTCAACACCATACATCCTACATCTTCTCCTCCGGGAGACCGGGACCCCATTAATTGAAATTTCCCTGACTCCTTCACAGTGCACGGAAGGATATGTATGTAGGTAAAAACAACAATCCAAAGTGGGAATGGAGAGGGCTTTAATTGGGCCAGTTTACCGGTTACATGAATATATATAATTTTTGGCAATTACATTAGCATTTATATATAGAGTTTGTAAATACTTTATTTAATACATATATATATATATCCTTACGTATTTTAATCGCTTAAAACTTTCGTATCCATATTATACAAGTCGTTTCGTTTTTTTTTTGTTCATTTAATGGCTTCCGTACTAAACACGTATAAAACCCGTTTAACATTTAATTATCCGTATTTAATTTTTTGAAGGCTTTTATTATGTAGCTATATGCCTCGAAGAAATATTTCACGTGGAGAGTCATCCAAACAACCAAATAATGTTTCATTTTGATTGTTAAAAAGTGAATGTAAGCACAAATATTTTAATTAGCATAATTATATACATCATGCAATTTAATGTGTTATTCAGGGAAAAGATAGTTGTTTTATATCACTAGAAAGTGTGATCGATTCTAATTAGAGTCTATCTGATGTGCAAAAAAAGTTTCCTGATGGTATGAATATTGATTAATTATAAATTGATTATAATTTCTCCTCGATGTTGATCTTACAAAACTATCATTCTCCATTTTATATTTTAGAAATCAATGCACATAGGTCAGAGTTGAAGAAAATTAATCAACCTTTGACCAAATTAGTGAGAAAAACATGCTCTTTATATAAAGCAAAAGCGTATAAATGAAAAAATTGTCAACATTCCTACTGTTAATCTATTTATTTCATGTTTGTTTTCTATTTATATGTTGTCTAATTATGTGTTAGCTGCTAGGATTGCTTATTTTACTAATTCCAATACAAGATTACAAATTGAGATGAATAACTTACAAACTAATTAAGAGAAATAGATTGTCGAGGTCCATCAAATTTGCCGAAAATTGTTGTAATCGTCTTCGTGTGATGCGTTCTGGAGACTTTCCATGTTTATTGATATTTTTCAGTATGTCATTTTCCTTCATTTATTCTAATGTTAGAGTTTGTGACCAAATTTCTTTCTTACATTGGAGTTTTCATTTTATTGTAGTGGTTGTAGTGTTTGATATTGGTAAAACAACTTATAAATGTGAATATTGTGGAGCGTTGATGTGGAAGGGCGAAAGTACCAAATCCGCGAGGAATTCAAATCACCCAAATTTTCATGACCCGCAAGGATACCTACTGAATGGAATACACCAAGTTTGCTCAACTCTACATCTATGACACTTGAAATGAACTCCTAAAACTCCAGATTCAAATCATTCGCTAGATTCAATTATTTAAGAATTACAGGAGATGTTAGATTCAAGTAATTTCTTAGTAAAGACATTTTGGTCTGCAAGGGATAGACTGAATGACACCACTGTTGAACAAGTCGAAATAAAGCTGCTTGGTAAAAGAGAAAGGGATGGCAGAATATTATTTGTCATCAACAAATGAGGTCGATGCTTTAATTGTTGATGATACCGCAGAGCAAACATTTTCTCTTGATATTGTTGTTCAGTATCAAAGTCATGAACTGGAAAAAAAATTAGTATATATCACCCAAGTTAATTGGCTTTGCAATATGCCATATATTCCCACATGGCGAGGATGGTTGGCACCCAAATATTCCATACTTTAGGGGTGAGGGTGAGGATGAGGATGAATACAATGAGAAGGATGTGACCCAATGTGATTTTTTACAGCTATAAACGCCAAACCAGACTGGAAGAATCGAATGCATTGCTATTGCGTGGAAAGTTGTTCCAACAATATATTGTTAATGCATATGCATTGGTTGAGGCTGAGCGTTTGGATTGGATTAAAAACAACCACACAAATCTGCGACAACATTACTACCAAGGTCTTTTGGTTTCTTACTTGAGAGGTGACTCAGACATAAGTTTGAGTGAAAAACAGGTGATTTTAGCTTCATCACATACAACTCGCTATAAGTATGGAAGTTTCAAGGATGCTATGGCGATTTGTAGTGGGGCAGGATATCCAAATATTTTCATTACATTTACATGTAATCATGTCGAGCCTGAGATTCAATACATGCTTGATTTGATAAGGACTACTACTAGAAAGTATCCTAATAGAGCTGATGTCATCGCAAGAGTTTTCAAACTGAACCTACATCAATTGCTGAAGGAGATCTTGGAGAGGATTCTTTTTGGGAAAACATGTGCATGTAAGTCCATAGTTTTACTTTAAGTATCTTAAATTCATGATTTGTTCCGAGACTGTTATTTTCCTATTTTGATTATAATTTCTTTCATTGAAGATGTGATGGCAATTGAGTTTCAAAAGCGTGGTCTACCTCATGCTCATTTATTAGCCTTTCTAGATGTAGAAGATTAGTTATATAGTCCTTCAAAAATAGATTCGATCATATCTGCTGAAATCCCAGATCCTAAAACAGATCCTGAATGTTATGTAGTAGTTGTGGTACATGGTCTATGTTTACTTTAAAATTTTACTACGAAGATAATACATTGTTCAAACTATGCAGTGCCTAGATTAAGCTTGTGTTGATTACATTTTTGTGAATTAGACTTATATACATTCTCAAACATAGAAAATAGTTTGATTGTTGTTCTTATGGAAGGTTAGTCACTACACAATGCAAAATAATATTCGACCTAACAACTCAAAAGAGAAAATGGACTCTTCAATATTGGGTCTCGAGGAAGTAAAAGAGGGATTTTTTCAAAAAACTTTTAGGAATCGGATCCCTGGCATAGGATTTGTCTTTCATTTTCGTTAAAAAAAATTACACTTAGTAATTCAGTTAGAATGTCGGAAAAAATATGATGTCATCTTTTGAATAGTTTGAAGTATTATAATAATTACAATTCTATTATGCAACTAAGAAATTAGAATGTTATGTAATTTCATAAACCTTTATTTTTAACATACTACCAAAGAAACGCTAATCTCAATTCTCACATACAATTTGATATGACTATTTACGCGATTGACAAATGAATCCGGCCAATCGGCCGGGCCCGTGACTAGTTACATTCAAATATATTGTACTCAATAACCCAACCAATCGGCCTCTAAAAGATATCTAGTAGGCAACATCATATATTTCTTTTTGAAAACATCACTAAATAGTTAAATTTGGTATTCATACATCCTCCATTCCTCCTTACATTGCAGTTAACTTAGTATCTAAGGCTTGTCTCATTAAGATCAACACTCAGATGACAAACTAATTAAAGGAAGAGTACTCTATATAGATATATTATTAACGTAACAATGCATTTCATGATAGCAATTGTTGTTGGAGTGGGCACAAGGACAAGTATAATAGAATATCCTCACTCCTTTCAATCATAAACGATATCTATGCTATGGCACCGTACATTCTTATTTTTTATTATTATCATATCTGTAAATACTTTATTAATCAGACAACATTGTCCAACTCGATCTGATCAACAAGAATCATAGGTGGCCTATCATACCAAACTTCCCTCTGATTCCATATGGTCTCTGTATGAGCTATAATGTGAGCTGCCATGTTTCCTTCTCTAGGAGCATACTGCCACGATCCATTCCCTGTCTCTCATAGTAACCCGAGTATATTTCAACATATAACACTCATCTCTGTGTATATAGAATCCGCCGCATTATATATTACAAAAGATTTACATGGTTTACCAATTTACCGCTACACGAAATTGCAAAAATAATATACACACTAATTTAGAAAATTCTTATTTTGTTACTGTTGCAGATCTATCAAAAAATAAATTACAACAAAAGCGACAAGAATATAAAAGATAAGACACAATTGGAACTAGGTAAAATTCGATTCCATTCAACTCGACTTATTTACCGTTATTGACAACATTTTTATTTTGTCTTGCTACTCTCCTTTCCCCTCCTGCTACTGGTTCGATAACCATAATTAAGCTGCACGGGCACGGCTAAACTGGCCAAATAAAACAAATCTGGATCAGGTGACCTAGATTGGTGGATATGGCTGTGATGTCACACCTTATTTAAGCCGTGCTAGGCTGCTACACCCTTCAAGTCGCCGCACATTTTCGAAGAGAAGTTTAGCATAAGTGCATAACATAACGACTAACGAGAATGTTGAGAGAGGAAAGGTAATACATAAAACATAAGCTAGTGAGCATATCCAACTTGTTTTTTCCAGCTTAGATCAAAATCTCAGTGTTTCTGTTTTCCACAGAGTTCAACTGACACTAACGAACTCTCTGAGCATGTGATTCTAGTACAGCTGAGCAGTCTTGACGACGAAAATCTTTAGATGCATGTAATTTTACTAAACAACAGAACTGACTTCTACTGTAACTCTAACTTCCTTGTAAATAACAGAGTCGAGAAGGGTGCTGGAGAAGGCGGCAGATTGTTGTCTGTCAAGGTCCAAAAATGGCCGGGAAGAAAGCAAGCATCCTAGTGCAAGGCTCGGCTCCAATCAGGCTCACTTGTTGTATAGGTAGACGACGCTGAAGATAAAGAACCCAGCCATCTGCAATCAACAAGTAGAAAGACAATTAGAAAGACATCACGAAACCGTGTGTTTCTTTACTAACGACGAACAAAAGAACACATAAAATGGGAATTTCTGTGAGGAATCTGGCTTTACCGTAGTAAAGGAAGCTCCATAATATGGGAAGGCAGTTGTTATGAACCTTTCATACTCATTGTGTCTAAAGGGGCGCACCGGAATCTGCAGTTACAATTTCCAACCATTTCAGCTCTTTACATAATCATGCTCAAATAATTTTAACATTTAACCTTTTACGTTTAAAGACAATTCAAAACTCCAATCATTCATATTTAAATTAAGAAGTACCAAAAACGGTTTAAGGGTGCAAGGGCAAAGAGAGGAGCTGATAGAACAAAGAGTTCACCTGTTTAGAAAGTGACAGACTAGTGTACCCAAGCTTCTGGTATTCAACCTTGAATTGGAAGACTCCATATACATCAGGCACCTTGAACGATGTATGGTAAAGACCCTGTTCAATCAGAAGTAGATAAATAAGCTCGCAATGGCATGAGGGTGGTTAACAAGTATGAAAGCAAGGGTGTGAAGGGAAAGTTTTACCTTCTTGTCTGTTGATAGAGTTTTCAATACATATGGGCTCATCATATAAAACTGAACCTGAACATCATCAGCCACATATGGCTCCCAGCTGTTCCCAGACCACTCGTATATGTCCACATAAAATTCCTTCAAGCACATAACAACATTTACACGGACAACTCAATATTTGTTTAACAACTTCTCAAATGTATATTCCAAAATAGATAGCGAGTAGCAAGCACTCACAAGGTCATCCTTGATCCTGTACATGGCAGGTTCGTTGGTCTCCCCGACTTTTACATGCCTGAGGTTTCCAGCCTGGCAGAGTATTTAACATGAAAAAGAGTAAGCTAAGACTACTAATGCGGCGGAAGGAAAAAGTGGGGAGTGTTGTGGGAGTGGAAAGAAAAGATTCTGTTGTGAATGAACAAGATATTGAGGAATTGCCCCTATGTAAAATAATAATTCGGCACACCAAGAACTATGACTCACCTTCAAGTGACCTCTTTCATGGAAAAGCCATTTGCTAAGTTCAGTCACAAACTGCTCATTGCCAGACTTCTCATATCTATTATCAAAACATAAGTATCAGTACCAAATTGTTATTGAGAAATGAGAACCACTAAGGAGGTTGTCAATACAAACATTGGAAACAACCACGTGCACTTTGTAAATACACATATTCACAGGTTTTGCTAGCATCCAATTACATGTTGTGTACGGGATGGACTCCACAATAGATTAGTGACATTATGGACCGAGCTAGAACACCCATAAAAGCAGGCCCAACAAACATACAGTCACCGTCCGTGTGAGTCTGCCAAACCACCTCACACCCAAACAAGTAGTAGATTTGTGTTTCTAAGAGTAGGGAAAGGAAAGTTCTCATAAGATTTCCGCCAAGAGCTTAGGGACTTATTTCAAACATATTTGTAACTGACAAACACACAGGACATGTGTGCATAATCATATAACTAATAGGAAAATAGTAAATAAGGTTGCTCTAACTTCAATGGATTAAATGGAGGATGCTATAGCCCACAAATGTGCAAGGAGTTCTGGTCGAGCTATTCACATTCATAAGCAGCATTACAAGCTTGCAAGAAGTGAAAAGGGAAAAGAGATAAATAAAAGCTCGTTCACTTACTTTGAAGGACTCCCAGCTTTCTGCACACTTGACTTCATATACCTGATTTAAAGAAGGTAAAGTCAGACAACCTTAATAAAAGCCAAATATTTGGACCCATTAGAAAAGAGAAACAAGCCTACCGATTGCTGAACAAATCCAAAGAGCCAGAGATCATAATACGTGCATTGTTCCTTGCCTGCATCATATAATGTTAATAGATCATTCTTTTTCTGTAACTTGCCTATAGCACAGAAGCAAGATAAACTTAGACCTAGATCGCATATGGGAAAAGTCAAGTAGCCTGGTTACCTGCACAACTGAAACCAACGAGATTGCAGATCCAGTCAATGAAGGGGGACTTGACAACTTGGCAGTTGGATGAGCTGAATATGCTGATGGCGAAGCGGATAGGACTTTCAATGCCTTGAAATATAGGGTAGCAAAACACGAAATTTTTTACCATTTGTTCCAGACATAGTATATGCTATACAAACTGAATTTCGTGCTTACCAGAGTGTTTGCAGCATTCAAGGAATGCGCAATACCCTTGAAAAGCACTGGAGCCTGCTCAATCCAAAACCATTACAGAATTCATTAGTTCGGCAATGGAACTTTGGACTCAAGGACATAACACCTACAACAGCTTGTACCCTAAAGCAATATCGTAACATCATAAACGAAGGTCCGAATGAACAACCTCAATCTTAGTCTTCCCGAGGATCACATCCGAGTTAATCAATTCATCAGCAGCAATCAGCGTATGGTCACCATCAACATCAGACACCGCATAGTTTTGGTGATCAATAACCATAGCTGATGGCTCCTACACCACACAATAACACACAACTTTTACAAAGCCCATGAAAATGGACGAGCAAATAGCTTCATTTGCATCAAGTTTCGCTAATAAATTATAGAACTTCAATACAATTCCCACAACCAACCTCATCGAAATCGACTCCGCACTCCGTAGCGACGCTCTTGATCAAATCAGAAGCGGTGGTATCAGCTGCTACGATCAAATCATGACCGGAGTCAACGAAGTCAAGCACGGCCGCAACGTCCAATGCACCTCCAAACCCTACATACATATGCACCAAATCGAAGCGCACGAAATGCGAGCCCGACGAATTAGAAAAAAAAGCAAAAAGGTAAAAACTTTGACGAGAAATTCCACAAAACACCGGAGGCTTACTCTCGACTGAGGGGGCGAACAGAACCAAGCCGTCGTACAAGTACTGGCCGTATCTCTGGAGGGCGAGCTTGGGATCATCGGCGAGCTTGAATTCGAGATCGAAGCCACGGGACTTGAGGGAAGTGAAGAAGATGGAGTGAGAGGATTTGAGGGAGAAATCGTCGAGCAATACCAAGATCCGGCGGTCGGTCGGGGTGTCCGGCGAGAAGGAGTGGGAGAGGAAGGGGAGAAATGAGAGTGTCAGAGCGAAGAAGATCGCGAGTTTCGCCATTGGAGCGGATCTCGTCAGTAGAGAGCCGAGAGGGTTTTTGGGGCGGACCAAGAATTTGTGAAGCCTCAGAAGGCAGAAGCCCCCACAGCACAGGTGAAGACAACGCCTAGACGGCTTCGTTGGTGGAGTTTCGTGTCTAAGCTGCCGGATTGGTTACTGCTCGATACGTTTCGACCAAAATGGTCACATAGTCTATACCGATAACAAAATGGTCACTAACTTTTTAAGAAATTCACAAAATGGTAGCGTAATAAAACAATATTGTCGTTCATTTTGATCAATCATTCAAATGAGGGATGACAAAAATAATTATATTCGGGGATATTCGCTCGAATTCGGCCTCGATCAAGGTTAAATTTGAACTCAAAAGGTTTTTAATGAGTAGGGATAAAACTCGAATTCGAATATTTCAAGTAATGGGCTGGCATGACTATATGAGTATGGGTCAACCCTAAAGTATTTTGGATAGGTAATTGATATGCATTATCTGTCTCTAACCCGATCTGTTGTCATACGCTTTTTTTTGCCATAGATATTTTCAGAATAAAAATAACTATGATATGTAAGAGAGTTATATAAGATCTATCATAATCTTCTCACAACAACTCAAATTATTGGAACCAACTTAATTATGACATGATATGAGAGCTAGTTTGACTAAGTGGTCATTCGCCACATTTCAATTTACAACCAAATGTGTCTTTGTTCCAACCACTGTGTAAGCCTCATCCAGAGGCTAGGCTGGTTTGTTTGAAGAGAATTTTTTCTATGATCAGACCTAATCATGTCGTGCATTAACAGACTCCGTAAAATCCAGTAAAGTAGAATAAGCGATGTGGTCGAATCCACAATCCATATTCTATTCTATTTTAGTAATTTGATTCACGAATCAGGAGACATAACTATAAAAAGTTATGTACATGACAGAGTAGATTAGTTTGCCTCATATCATAAGCCTGTAATGTGGTAGTGGCAGCATAGATCTTCATCTCCGCTTGAAGAACGGATTAGTCAGCAAGCAGCCATTGGTATTTGGCTTGTCCTTTTCCTTCTTCGTTTCAGAAACCCGAATTTTGTTATGATTTAATTTTATGGCTAAATTTAATTTGTTTGTTCGCAGTTCTCCTTTATATACTCGTCTGCCGGAGCGTCTTTACGTCTTCTGCATCCTTTCCTCCCTCAATTCCCCGCTAATCATAACCCCTCCAAAGCTTTTTTCCTGTACTGCGCCCTTTCTTTTTTAATTCTCGCTTTGTACCTGCGCTTCCCTCTCCAGGTATCTTGCTTCTTCTTCCTCTTCCTCCAACTCCGCTATTTTCCCCGAATCTCATCTCAATTTCTCATCTTTTGCTTGGGTTCTGTTGGGTTTTCTCTCAATCGCAATCGCAATCGGGGATGGGTTTTGAGTTACGCAGCTCTCTATGCCTTGTCGATGCTCCTTCTGTGGGTTTCAAATCAGAGCTTGGGGTTCTCGTTTTTTTTTTTGGATTTCGTTTCTGCTTAGGGTTTCGGTGGTGGTTGTTGGATTTCCGTAAATCGTGCCTGCCCTTATTATTAGTGTCTTGACCGAGTTCAGGAGCTAGGCGATCTGTTGAGCTAAAAGTTTTCACCTTGGTCTGGAAGGGGGATCACTTCATTGGAGCTGGAGACTTTTCATTATTGTGATCATTTAGTTTGCGATTTGGGTTTTTGGCTGGTTGCGAGAGCTTTTGTGTATCTGCTGCTTTTGATCCATGGATGAGTATCTGTCTGTCTATGGATATTGCTGGATATTGGGTGGTTTATTTGCTCATCATTTTGTTTTTCCTCTGATTTCCAGAAGCCATGATTCGCTTGTTCAAAGTTAAGGAACAGCAGAGGGAACAAGCTGAGAATGCCAATGGAGGCATACCTGTTAAAAAGCAAAGTGCTGGAGAACTTCGCCTTCACAAGGGTATATCTGATTGTGCTTTCCTGATTACGTGCTAATAACATTCAGTATAATGGTCTTGGTGTCATTGGTTGTGTTCTGTCCCATTAATGGTTTCGAATGGATATTATAATCATCCAATTCGCGTATTAGATTGTGTAAATGGTTTGGGGAAGAGCATGGCACTGGATTATTTATTTAGTTAGTTGAGCTTAAACCAACATGAGTGAACTTGACGTGATCTGGTCAATAAGCTGATGTCTGCTCGGTGTAACCTTTGCCTAATGGCGATGAGCGAAGTGCCTCTTTGTACGTTAGGAACTCCTTGGTATTTATAATTTGGTTCCTTTTTTTCTGCTGCATACTAGAACCTGGATTTTGGTTATTTAACCCTGCCTTGTGGCTTGTGATGCAATGTTTATATGTAGCCTTTGCATCTTTGTCTTGTGTTCAGACCTTTGAACTACAATTTCAATGTCTTGGAATGCTTCATATAGCATGTTACGTGCACCACGACCACTAAATAAATTATTGAATTATAATTTACCTACTTGACCTTTTGATCTTCTTCCCTTTGCAGACATTTCTGAGTTGAACCTGCCAAAATCATGTGCCATAACATTCCCTAATGGCAAGGATGACCTGATGAGCTTTGAGGTCACAATTAAACCTGATGAAGGATATTATGCGTAAGGATTTCTTTAGCTAAAGCTCTTTGAGTAAAATAGATTTCTTTGCTATCAAGTATGTCGCATAAATAGGTACTAACACAAGGCTTGATTCCTATTGCTTTTTGGGCTGCTATCACAGAGGTGGAACGTTTTTGTTCTCTTTTCAAGTTTCTCCTATCTATCCTCACGAGGCACCAAAAGTGAAATGCAAGACTAAGGTAGCTAAGCCAATTCCCGTTTGCACCTCTTTTTCTCAATGATGTCGTGCAAGTTCGAGTCTTTTGATAGACTTTACTCTGGTTTGCAGGTATACCATCCGAACATCGACTTGGAGGGGAATGTTTGTCTCAACATCCTGCGAGAAGACTGGAAACCTGTTCTTAACATTAACACTATTATCTATGGGCTGTACCATTTATTCACGGTATTATTCACTGCTCTCTCCCCCTTCTCTGAACGTCACTTTTGTTTTTGGTTGTGTCGAAAGTCGTTTCTTACTCAAATGAACTGGAATCGAACCTGTGCAGGAGCCAAACTACGAGGATCCCCTTAACCATGAAGCTGCTGCAGTGCTGAGGGATAACCCGAAGATGTTCGAGACAAATGTGAGGAGGGCTATGACCGGTGGTTACGTTGGCCAAACTTATTTCACGCGCTGTATGTGAGAGGCTGGGTCAGTCCGCTGTTTAATATCTCTGTTTTGCACAGCTGCAGCTCCTCTCCCATACATTTGCCAGTGTCCCTAAATGTGACAATCTTGAATACCCCATGATGGTTGTAAAATTCTCTTCAAATTAACATGTGTCACTCTGCTTTTGCAACGGGTTGAGATTGGGCGCAGCATTGTTAGTTCCTTCAATCCCAGCCATTGTATGTTTGGAGTTTGGACGCGTCATTATCAAGTTAAATGCGCATCAACTTAATTTGGGCAAATTCTCGTCTTCTTTTGCCTCATATAGAGGATTCTACTTTACTGTTATGTCGACTTCTGAATTCAACGAGATAAACTAAACTGAAGCATAAAGTTGAGAGGCTTTCACTTAGATAATTCTAACAGAATAACTAATGTACAAATAATCTCTGTCGAGTAACCTCTCATACAGGCGTTGAGCATTGTGGCTGATTGTAAGTTGTAACGACTATGTCCGTATAGTTTGTTGCTGGTCATCGTCAGTTCGGCCTTCATATGTGGTCTTATTCGAGCATTAATCGAGCATGTTGATGTAAACCTATGCAGACAGACACGATCTTGATAAGTTTGAGACGTTGTGATATGTCAATACCATCAAATCCGATAAACCATTATCGGCCATTCCGAACACTAGAATGGTCGGAGAAAGCATAGGAACCAAATTTGATTGTCAAATTTCGTCAGTGGAAATGCCGCGGAATAGATAAAACTTACAATAGTATTTACAAAGAAGATCTACGGCTTATCACTCATTTGGATGTCTTTGGCACTGGCCAATTTAGCATTCTCTCTATCCTGCTTAAAGAACCAGTACAATGGAGTGTAAGACAAGCAACACAACCCAAAAGGAACAGCCATCATAGAAAGCAGCCCCTTGGACAGAGCAGCGGCCTCTCTTACCGACCCTTTGATAGGATCAATCCCCTTCACGTCGTAACCGAACGTCTTCTCCGACAGTATTCCAACCAACGGAGCAGCAAAAGACGAGAAGGAAACCTCGAACGCACGATCAAAGGCATAGATCATGGTCCTGTGCTTTGTGGGGACAACCTCGGCAAACATCGGGCCATTGGCAGCCGTCGCACACCAGCTGATTGTTAGGCCCATCAGGAAAAGGGTGACGGCGAAGGTGGAGTAGCTGTCCACCGACTGAGGAATGACTTTGAGGAGAAACCATGAGAACGGTATCCCCATGAAGGCACTGAACTGGGCGCACATGATCCGGCCTCCTTGCGGGTAAAGGCGCGACATCCGGTCTGCGACTAGACCGCCCACCAGGCTCCCTGACGCACATCCAAAGGCGAATAGGCTTAGGAGGGCTGCTGTTTTGTTATGATCAAAACCTGCAATGCACACAAATAGATTATTCACCATCAGTGTTTTAGCTTTTGCTTAAAAGTACACATTTTTTTGTTTCAAAGTTCTCACCGATGAGTTCGAACCACAACGTGAAGAACACCATGGCGGTCCATGGCAGAGAGCCAACAACTCCCTGCAACACTATGACCTGAAATGTCTTCACTTTCAGAACAGCTAATATGGATCTCCATGACTCTAGCCATACAGATGCTACTGCACTGGTATGGCTCTTTTCTATCAGCTCATCCCTGCAAAACGAAACAAGCAATTGAGCATACAAACATTCGCACTACTACGAATCATATTCTTCTTTTCCCCATGTATTAGTTTGTACCATTAACCTGTACCTGCCAGAACTCTCACTGCTGTTGCGAGCACCAGCAGCAGAAGCCATTCCTTTCCTTGGATCGATAACAAACATGAAAACAAGTAAACCAATCACCGAACTCAACGTTGCCATCATCATAAACGCGAATCTCCATCCTGGCACGCCCCAAAACTCCTGGCCAGCCATGATCGTTGCCATGACACCACCTCCGATCCCACCCAAGCTCCCAATAAGGCTCACCAATCCGAACCCGGTGCCCCTCACTGCATCCCCGTAGCTATCAGCAATGAAAGACTGCAGCGCTGGAATGACAATCGCCAACCCAAACCCATTAATTGCCCTCCAAAACGCCACCTGCACGAAGTAGCGGCTAGCGCCAACTGCAGCGGTGGATAGCGCCCAGCAGAAAGTCCCTATTGCGAGGATCGTGGGGCGGTCGTAGTTTATGACTAGAATCCCCGCCAAGGGCGAAGCGAGTCCCTGGACGAAGTTCCTTATGAAAGTAAGGTACCCTAAATCTGATGGGCCGGCGTTGAAGGCTTCACTGACTTCTTTGTAGACGGACGGGAGGAGATTCTCGTCCGCCTTCTCCATTATTGAAGCCATGTTGATGAGAATGAGGGAAAGGGAAATGCCGAGAATCTTTCTTTCTCTGCTGGCAAGTTAACAAACAGTTGAGTGCAAGAGGATCAGTGTCAAAAAATTTCAACAACCATTTCGAAGTACAGTCTCCAATCATTAAATCCACCAAACAAATCGAAACCCAGAAGAGATCCATTCTTTTTTAAAAGTTAAAAGTCAAAACCCGCCTTCGATTGAGAAGCGGAGCTAATAAAGGATCGAACTTTAAACAACAGAGAGATGGATCTAATAGACTCGTGGGTAATCAATACGGAACAAAAAGGGATGAGTTTTCCCACCAAAGCCAATCGACGTTCATGCTGAGATATCGTTCAATACAATACAAAGAACGTTGTGCGAATCCAGAGCTATTAAGAACAGGGAAGATTCAAATTGGGCGAAGCAGAGGCAGGGGCACTTACTTCATGGCTGCAGACGTTATGGAAGAACGACGTTTGAATCGAGGAATGGCAGCAGCAGCACGGAAGCTATTCTGGGTCGTCCGGAAAATGCCCATAAACGATTAAAATAGCTCGAGGAAGGAGCAGAGAGCAACAATGGCGGATCCAATGGCTCCCTTACTTTCCTTGTTGGAATGTCTCGGACACATCGGAGACTAAAACGAGGGGCCCGATATATGAGCTGAGAAAGAGAAGCAAGTGGGTTGTGTTTTTGTTTTTGTTTTTTGGGAGACGATGGAGAGTGAGAGAGGTTTGCCGGGCCAAGACGGAAGGAAAGTTAGAAGAGTTTGAAACTCTCTTATCGCCCTGTTTAGCCAAGAAGAAGGGAACAAGCGGGAACGCCATGTGATGGGTTGAAAATGAATCTGGCGATTCAGAAGGGCGAGCCGGTCAACGAGAGGAAAAGATTTGAGATTTGAGATGATTCATTGATCATCGTCGGCGGGCACGAGGTCGTAGAAACGTGGGCGGGTGGATTGATGACGGTGTCGCTTGCCGATTCACTAGATTTGGACCCGTGCAATTGGGCCGGGTGTCGGGTCTTGTGGTTTGAATATCCACAACCATAAAGTCGTCGCCTCGTCGGGGACAGACAGAGAGGCTCTGTGCTTGAGCTTGGCCTCTTCCTACATTAGTGGGAAAACTCAAAATAGAAAGCAATTATAAGCGAGTTCAATAAGGCGTAAGACAAGTGCTTTAAGAAGGCGTAAGACCAGTGCTGGAGTCTTATTTAGTAACCAGTAGGGATGGCAATGGGTCGGGGATGGTCGAACCCAAATCCATGGGTTTGTTCGTGAAAAAAACTCGGGGATAAACCTACTGGGTTTGAAAAACTCAAACCCAACCCAACCCATTGGGTATCCGCGGGTTCATGGGTACCCACGGGTTTTTGTTGTAAAAAATTCACAATAACAAATTCCTATCAAAATTAAAGTTAAATTACTCAAATATCAATCTCTCAATACAAATTATATATATATAAAACAACATTCTAGAAAATTCAAGCAAATCACAAATTAACTATACAAATTGTTCAACACCAATCTAGAAAACTCAAGAAAATTGAATCAAATCACAAATTATCCATAAATAACATGATTAATTGAAAACTTCTTCCTTTCAATTAAGTTTTTCACTCTCCACTCGATAACATCAATTTCATTCTACATAACTAAAAAGAAAAAATTAGACATGTCTCCACAAACATAAATAAGATTAGTTGTTTAGAATATTAAATATGCCGAGAAAATTAATTATATGAGTGTGGGCGGGTACCCATGGATCAGGTTTACCTAAATCCAAACCCAACCCAACCCGGTGAATAGTGAACGGGTTTAAACCCAAACCCGACCCAAAACCCGTCAACACGGATTTTACCCGTGTTGGCCAGGTTGGGTCGGATGGGTACCCGTGAGTTCGGATTTTGTTGCCATCCCTACCTAGCATGTCTAGGTGGTACCTAGACGACAAGTTTAAAAAAAAATGGCAAATTTCAATAGTAATGACAATTTTACATAACTTTTGTCTTTGATTTCAATTTGAAATGATTAATAACTTAACTGATACTCAACCATAAGCAAAATATGTTATGATTTCATAGAATCACAAGTTTATGGAAGTCGTGGATTGTAGATAATTTTGGAAAGATTAGCTACAAAATTATTTTAATCCTTGTCCTGTCAACACGCTTAAGCATTCCTCACTTTGATTTATCACGTCTCGCATCAATTAATCGTGCTAGTTCTGCTTAGGCGCCGCCTAGGCATTACGAACGCCTAAGTAGCTACCTAGTGTCTAGGTGAGACGTTTTGCCACTGCCTGATGCTTAGACGCGCTTAGGCGTATGCGAAATTATGCCTTCTTGCATATTAGTAGTATAGGATACAAAGTGTAATTTTGTTGTTTTCGAGTAGTTATATGTAATTTTGTAGATTGCATGTACTAGTTAGTAATTTGGTTGTTGGTATATACTTGTTGTACAATAAAACGTACCTCAACTTGTCTCTAATCAATCTAAATTGCATTATTCAGTTCATCTTTTGCAAATCTAAATTGTTGAATCTAGCACGGTATCAAAGCCACAAGGGGTTGTTTTCTTTCGTTTTCTTTTCGATTTCTCGGCTTTCTGATCGATGGTGGCTGCTTCGTTAGTTTCTCCGGAGTTCAGTATTGATGCTAATCTAATCATCCCTATTACCTCAACGAGAGCGATAATCATGCTCTATGATAGAAACCCGCATTTTCATAGTTTTGTTTATTCGGATTACTTTTGTCGGTTTGTGTCCTTTGAGAATTATTGGGGCAAATTAGGAGTTATTTAATAATTCGGGTAACAGTAGGGAATTTTCTATTTTTATATAAATTACTTGTACGTGGGAATTAAGCCCTAAGCAAGAATTAAAATCCTAAACCTAATACTCTCTAATCCCTCTCCCTTCCTCTCTCTCTCGGCCGATCCAACTTCTTCCCCTCTCTTCTGCAGTTGCGGCAGCAGCTTCCTCCTCCCCCCCCCCCCCCCCCTTCCCTTCAATTTCCAATCCCTCTTCCCACCCCATTTCCATAATCAACCCCAAATCACCACCTTGGTGATTCGTTCAGTGCCCAAATCCCTAAAACCCGATAGAACCTAATTTTAGGTTTCTATCATCTGGTATCAGAGCCCCGTTCCGATCTAAGCAAATCACTAAAGAACAAGGTCACGTTATGGCAGTGACGAAATCTCAGAAGGTTGCGGAGAAGGCCGCGGAGGAGGCGGCCCGGGAGAAGGCGACCGCGACCACCACGGTGACGGGCCAAGGCAGCGGCGATGAAGGCAGGCCGACGGCGGCTGCGGCGGTGGAACATAACCAGCAGCAGGGCGGGCAGAACCAGGGGTTCCCTATGGGCGGTCGCGGATCATATAGTGAGGCAGGAGGCTTCCATCCGTCGCGCGTGGGACCGGACAGACCGGGGCGAGTAACCCCTGACTCGAGGAGCTGGTATGCCGGGCCACCCCGAGGCGAGGAGGGAGCCGAGTTCATGAACCGAGGACCGAGAAATCCGCACAGTGGAAGGTATGCTGGGTATGACCGCTTTAATGATGTGGATGATGACTTGGTTTTCAGAGCTACGCCTCCAACCATTGAATTTCCGAAATTCAATGGGCAAGAGGATGCAGGGTTGTGGTTGTATGCAGCTGATAGGTGGTTTAAGAACCACCCGACTCGGGAGGAGTGAAAGGCGCACCTGGCGTCTTTCTACCTGGAAGGTGACGCGCTGCACTGGTGGGAATGGTTGGAGAGGTCGTACGCTGCTACGGGAACTCTGATCACGTGGCCGATGTTCCAAGAGGAACTCCGCTATCAGTTCGGAAAATCAGAGGGTTGGGCCCCGGAGCAGCTAGCTAAGTTGAGGCAGACCGGGACAGTGGCGGAATATCGGTCGGAGTTTCTCAAGCTGGGGAATCAGTGCAAGAGGGTTCCGGAAGAAACACAGGTGGGCCTATGTTTGGCTGGCCTAAAGCCTGAGATCGCGGCAGCTATCCGAGTGTTTGAACACGACTCGGTAAGAACTGCTTTTCGTTATGCAGGTCACAAGGAGGAAGAACTGGCTAGCTGGAGGAGCGTCTTCGGCCGTTACCCGAGGCCGAGCAGGGGGCGAAGCAACAACCCCGGGGGCGGTGGGGGCGGTAGCGCGGTCGCAGGAGCTAGAACCGGAGCTGCAGGAGGAGATCCGCCACCACCACCGGTGGCGACGGGGCCAAGACCCGGTCCTCATGCTCCACCGAAGGGCTTCGTCAGGCTGACACCCGCTGAGATTGAACAGAAGCGCCGGGAGGGCAAGTGCTTCAACTGCAATGAGCGGTTCACCTTCGGTCACCAGTGTGCAAGGCCAGATGTGATGATGTTGGTGGGACGATGGGAAGATGAAGCAGAGGACGAGGCGATGGAGGCCTTGGAAGAGAAGCAGTGAGCTCAAGTCAACCTTGAGGACAAGGTTGTTTCCAAGGAGGCGGGGATGATAGAAACCCGCATTTTTATAGTTTTGTTTATTCGGATTACTTTTGTCGGCTTGTGTCTTTTGAGAATTATTGGGGCAAATTGGGAGTTATTTAATAATTCGGGTAGTGGTAGGGAATTTTCTATTTTTATATAAACTACTTGTACGTGGGAATTAACCATTAAGCAAGAATTAAAACCCTAAACCTAATACTCTCTAATCCCTCTCCCTTCCTCTCTCTCGTGGCCGACCCAACTTCTTCCCCTCTCTTCTGCAGCTGCGGCAGCAGCTTCCTCCCCCCCCCCCCCCCCTTCAATTTCCAATCCCTCTTCCCACCCCATTTCCATAATCAACCCCAAATCACCACCTTAGTGATTCGTTCAATGCCCAAATCCCTAAAACCTGATAGAACCTAATTTAAGGTTTCTATCACTCTAGTTCTTGTTTCGACACTCGTGCATGGCGAAAATTATCAATCTTGGACTCGTTCGATGCGCATGGCGCTCTTAGCGAATAACAAGATCGTCTTTATCAACGGTGATAATCCATGATCGGTTGACGCTGATTGTCTTTATAAACACCTTCTAAAGGTTTGCTCATCGTATTTTGGTCTCCTTTCATTTTGACCAAAATAACCATTCCCCCAAGCGTTGATGAAAACTTCTTTGTAATTTCTAGTGAAGTAGAGAATGCCAAACTGTCAAGGAAGTGGCGCACGTTCATCATCATACATTTGCTCGAGTTCAAGCTGGAGTTCATGGTCAAACCTTACAAGCTATCCATACTTTTGCTCATACGATGATGAAGATTGAGATGAATACATGACGATTGTTGTGGAAAATTTGAGAGAAGAGAAGAGTGGGGTGAATTGTTTTCCACTTAAGAAGGTATACTATGTAGACAAATGAGTTGGAGCTAGATATTAATTAAGTGGTGAGTTGTTTCAATTACTAATAATTGACGATACTAGTGGGCAACTATATATTGTATAAAGAAGAGTGATGGATCACTAAATTGTTTTGGATATGAGATGAGTGGTGTTTGTTGTTTCAAATATTAATAATTGACTATACTAGTGCACAATTCTGTATAAAGATGAAGTGATATATCACTGAATCACCTGGACAATAAATGAGTGGTGTGACTAAATTTCAGTATCAGTTATTGACGAAAGGAGATGTGCACCATAGTGAAAGTCATTAGTTGATTATTTCAAATATAATTTCTTTTATCATAAACTGATCCAATTTTATCTGAATATCCGTATCGAATTATCAAAAACCAATATAAAAATTAAATTAAAAACATAAGTTTAAGTGTTCATAAGTTATGTTTACTAAACATAAAAGGGTAAATACTATTTTTTAGCCAAACATTTTTCCCATTCTATACTATTAGCCAAAACTATCGAAATATTAATTATTAGCCAAATGTTTTGTAATGCATCGAAATATTAACATTAATTCCATTACCATTAATTTTTTGTTAATAGTGCTTTAGCTCAGCAAACACGTCAGCTCCACATCTGATATCATTAAAATTTGGTCTAT